GAATCAGTCTCTTTGTTTCTTGGTGAGCCTGGCTAGAGGTTCATCAATCTTGTTTATCCTTTCAAAGAACCAGCTCTTGGTTTTGTTGATCTTTTGTATTGGTTTTTTTTTTTTTTGGTCTCTATGTCATTTATCTCTGCTTTGATCTTTAGTGTTTCTTTCCTTCTGCTTACACTGGGCTTTTCTTGTTGCTCTCTTCCTAACTCTTTGCGTTTTAGTGTTAGGGAATTTATTATCATTGTTTCTTGTTTCTTGCAGTAGGCTTGGAGAGCTATGAACTTCCCTCTCAAGACTGCTTTCGCTGTGTCCCATAGGTTTTGGATTATTGTGTTTTCATTGTCGTTTGTTGCCATAATTTTTTTATTTCTTCTTTTATCTCTCTGGTAACCCAGTCATTGTTTAATAGCATGCTATTTAGTCTCAAACAGTTTCTAGTATTGTGTTCATTTACAATTCAGAAGGAAAGGCACAACTTGGAAACCAGGGTCTTTCCTTCTTCTTCCTTGTTAAACCATCAGAGCAAAGTTTCAGCATTTGCTTATAATATATGCAAGAAAGGGATTAAAAAAATCACAAAACATCTTGAAGGTCCAGCCGCTCCCACCAATACATCAACTCTTAGGTTTAAGACAGGGACTGGGATTACTTTCAGTGGTCATAAAATAGGAAAAAAGCGACTAAAGTTACAAAAATAAAAAATAAATGAGGTAGATAAATTAAAGCTTTCATACCCAAGACTTGCCTGTTCCAACTTTATAACGTTCATGAAGTACTAATGGGGGAAAAGAATCTTCACAATTATTTGGCATAAGTCACATCAAAATTTTTATAAAAAGTAGTATGTGAACCTCGTATCAGAAACATGCCCTCCATGAGTTTCTTCAAGAATGAAAGACTCATTTCTTCGCTAGAGTAGGCACTGGTGAACTAAATCAAGTCACCTGAGGTCCCCTGCTCAGGTGCCCACCTGTCCTGGTGTTCAGGAAGGTGGCATCTGGAAGCAGGGAAGACATTGGCACTCTTAGGGCTCCAACTGAACTGTATTTCAACAAACAGCAACACACACATTGACTCCTAGGGACTAAGATCGTTCAGTGGAGGGCATCTTACTCACGGTCCCAAGGTGGAAGGAATTTTGTAATTCCACACCTTAGTTAAAAATAAAACAGGAAAGTACATTCAAAAAGGAAACAAAACAAAAGATGGGTGTAGGGTTGAGGGACATACAAAGCAGGTCACCAAGGATGACAGACCTAGTCCATTTACCTGCACACAGTCCCGGAATTATGCAGCTCCCCCTCCCCAGTTAGGCTAAGCAGTTTCTTTCCCATCGTGGTTTAATAAGTTCCAACTTGAAACAGGGGACAATCTTTGGAAATAGTTCCTCTAGCTTGTACAAAGTCTTCACATATACAGTTTATCTCAAGTAACAAAGCCACTTTGCAAGACCCGCTTCTTCCAAAATTTAAAAACAAACAAACTAGTCTGTATTTATTTTAGTATGTGTGTGGTTTGTTTTGTTTTTTAACAAAGCAGCATAGCAACATCGTGATTGTTGGACATGTGTGAGGTTGTGGTCACTGTTATGGGTTCACCAACTCAGAATTTAAATTTAAGAGCCTTTATTAAGCTGGCCAGCTGACTACAGTTATAGCACCCTGCCGAAGCAGAGGCTGAACTGCAGCACCGACTTCCATGGCCAGCGACTACAGTTACACACCCTGCCAAAGCAGAGGCTGAACTGCAGCCCAGACTACAGGAATTACAGCATTTTTATTTGCAAAAACCACAAAGTTACAAAACCTTAGTTCCCAACACAGTACAGCATCATTACAGTAGCTACCTTCCTACCTATGTGTTCTAGGAACAGAAAGTACAGCATATTGAGAAAGGGCCATGAGACCATATCTAAAGGCCTGGCATGATGTCAGTACCTTCCTATCTATGTGTTTTAGGAACAGACAGCACAGCGCGACCCATCTGGCCAAAGCGCCAAATATACAGCCCAGCATAGTCACAACTGTAAACATTTGAACATCAGTAAAAACACAAACAGGAGGAGATGGGTTTTTAAACAACAATGACAAAAACAAAAGATCCAGTTCAAGCAGTCACTCTGCATTTCTCCTTCACATGGGCTCTCCCGTCGCTTAGCTGACCGCAATCTTGTTTTCCTCCAGGAAGTGAGGGAACTGGTGTTTGGGGACGCTGTCAGCAGCACCCGGCTTTTCCACATCACTGCTAACTGACTGGGAGCCATCTATCTTGGAGACGGTGGTGTTGCTGACAATGGAGCTGGCACCTAGGGACACCGGGAGAGTCGGGATGCCTCCACTCTGGATCACTGAGATCTCATTGGTCTTCATGGCCAGATCACTGTTGAGCATGGTGGTGTACTGGTTCCACACAACAGGGTCCACGTTCACTGAAGGGGCCATCATTTCCTTGGGAAACACCTCTGGGACCCTCTTTGTGTCTGTTCCTAGAAGAGCCATGGTGTTCTCCATGGCCAGCTTCCTCCCGCAGCACGCGGAGCTGTTGTTGGCACCATGCATCATATAGTGAACCTTCAAGTTGCCTTTGGTGGTGAAAGCTCGTCCACATATGTTACACACGAAAGGCTTCTCCCCAGTGTGAGTCCGCTCATGAATCTGGAGGGCACTGGTTGACGAGAAGTTCTTCCCGCACTGTATGCAGGCATGCTGCTTGCCCTGGCGGGTCATGGTCATGGGTCCAAATGCACCAGGAACTTCCACTTTCACATAGGTTGGCTGGGCTTGGACAAATGCTGATGGGAGATTGCTCCGACCTTCCATTTCAGTGCGGCTGCTGTCAGAGCTGTCTGCTTTGCCACCAGCATCAGGAGACTTGGACTTGATGCTTTCTGCTTGGCTATTGGCCGGGGAGAGGGCCTGAAAGGAGGTCACCTCCAGGATGTCTGGACTTCAGCTCTGATACTCCTGGTCTCCCATCACTGAGGACGAGGAGTCGGTCAAGCCATCGCTCTCCACTGAACCATTCTTTCGGCTGCTCTGCCACTGCAGGACCAGAGGAGCAGGACCTACCTTCCCCGAGGCCTCCAGGGGGGCCATCAAGGTGAACCCTGCTGTGGGCGATGCCGAGTGGATGCCGGAAAGAGGCATGGGGACCTTCGAGGAGCTGCTGGGAGCATCCTGGGAGCCGACTTCATCCGCATCGATGCTTTCAACAATGTCATCGTGACAGACAACACCTGTGTGGCCATTTTCAACCACCATCATCAGCTCAGGACCCATCAAGTCACAGGGACTCTCCAGCAGGGGGGGGTTGG